ACTCACTGACCCACCTCAGCTTGCTGAAGCTGAGGTCCACAGCGTACAAACCCCAGGCTTCTGGGAAGCCCAGAGAGAAAACAAATGCACACAATTTCCTGCCATATGTAACCACTTCACTAAGGTTTTCTGGCCTGTAACTGTAGGACCAGAGAGCTCTTAGCCATATAGAGTACATTTTTCATCTCAAATCTGTGCTGTGTGAATAGCAAGCCTTTTGAAAAGTGGGTTAACTGGGAGATGATCATTGTACTCACAAAGAAGTGAAGCAAAAGCATCGGCAACCACTTTCCTGGGATCTTCATCAATAAAGGTGACCAACTTTTGTCCCATATTCTTGAACTGCTGAGACAATCCAAGCAGGCCTTGCTCTCTTCTAGCTCCTGCTCCTTTACCTGTGTTCAAGAACCCTTTTCTTCTCACCTGGCTCAATGTGAGGCAGTCACATGGGACGTGCCCCATCCCATGGCCAAACACATATACTGACATGAGACGTTGACAGCACATACCCTTGAGTGCTTACATTAAAAATCTGCACAGTGAAGCACAAGGATTGAACTCTAATGTGTTTGATGGAATTACAGACTTCTCCAAAAACTAAAGGGTGTTTGATTTCTAAATCCTTGCCCAGATGACTGAAAATCCGAGCCTTACTTAAGAGCTGTCTTGTCTTGAAGAAAGATCATCAGTGATTAACCCATTATATGTGAAAAGAGAAGACTAGGGTGTACTTAGAAATAACATCACTTCCAGCATAGCACAAAGTGAGCAATTTAGAAAAATGGTTGAAACATTTCACCCTGGATATACTCCTCCTCAGAGTCAAGGATTGTCTGGTAATTGCTTGAAAAGCAGATATAGGGGGGAAAATTAAAGGAAGAATCAACATCAAAAGTAAGATGCCTGGTTGAACTTGAGAAATGCTCTGATAATAGTTGCAAGCATTCAAATGGAAAAATGCATCCCTACTTAATATTATTGATTCCATGTCTGGAGACAAAACCACAGAATATTGCGTCCAAGTTGCTGGAGATGCTAACTGGAGGGAGATAGATGAATGAGGTCAAAGTCATTACTTTTTTCAAGCAGTGAAACTCAAGCTGGAAAAAATGCTGGTAAAAAAAGCTTGTGGTGAGATCAGTTTTGACCTCTGAAATATATCTGTTGTGTCATGACCTGGTGATAACAAGGTAACTCTGAAAACCTTTTGGTGAAATGCTGGCTTATTAAATCTGATGGGTATTTAATTACTGACTTCAATGGAATCATGATTTTACCATGCAAGTGAGATCTGGGCATTCAAAATTCTTCTACAACCAAGAACCACCTCGTCTTGGTCTAATCATGAAGGGCTGGTACTCTTGACCACCATTTTGTGACCCTTTTACAAAAGGTAAGAATTATTAACAGGAGCTATTCACCTGTTAACAGGAGGAAAAGGAAGCCATGTGGCTGTCAAGGGAGAAAGACAAATTCCTGGAAAAATAATCATGGGGTACTTCTAAAATTAGGTTCATGTTCAAAATTCTCCCCTTCACTACTAAGAAGAGAGGGATACCATAGAGGTTAATCTTCCCACACCCAAAATAGGGATATATTCACCAAAGCTATGCATTATGTATGCTGGACTCAGCAGTGAGCAAAGGAGGTCTTTAGTCAAAACGTAGCACTACCATTTACAGAAGAGGCTCCATAGAAAGCCAGTGAACTCACAGAAAAAGTGGAGGAATAAATTATGTTTACAGAGTGAACTGCAAAACATGAGATGAGTATTTTGAATTTCCAAAATGTTCTCTACTTGAGCACATCTCCAAAGCAAGATTTTTTTCTTTTTATTTTTTTTTTTCACACTGTGACTAATCAGGTCTCAGGAGTATGGGCACATCCTGGAAGAGGATTATATCTGAAATTGTAATTGTACATTGGCCATTATTTTCTCTTCACTTAAGACAGATACGTGAATTAAACAGAATTATATTCATCAACAAAGAGAAAATTAAAGGGGGTAGAAATTAGAAGAAAGAAGCAATATTTTAGCAATCTTTTCCTAACTGCAAGGCTGAAGGGAATGAACACTTTGTGACAGCACCTCTGGCAGTGCTGGGTGCTGAAGTCTCTGTCAGCACTCGGGTTCCATGTACCATCCAAGACTGGCATCTGGCCTTCCCTATAGGGTCTCGCTAGGAAATGTAAACAGCCATAACAAATATTACCACATGTACCTGGCAAGTCACTTGTGAAACACCCTTCTGACTGTTTATAGAGCCTTGTAAGGTGGTTTTGCTTTCTAGAAATAACTGCTGTATCTGTGTGTACAAGACACTAAAATTCCTTGTTTTCATCCCCCTGCTTTGTGTATGAACTGCCATAGCAGGGAGGGTAGCATTGCCATTGCTCCAGCCTCTTAATTAACTGCACTCAATTCTCCTGACAATAGCAAGAGAAAAAGACAAGAGTTATATGTTTTACAAATGGGGTGCATTTCAGGAGGGATATTTTAATGTTTCCAATGGTATCCAGCTCCTTGCTTCTCTTTCAGGATGGTCTGACATAATTGACACCTAGAAAAAAGATAGTTCTAAGTATATATTTTCATCTATATCTGCTTTTGCTAGGAAAAAAAAAATCAAGTCTTTCTTTTACGAAACAACATATTTTTAATGTAAAATGCAATGCAGACCAGTGCAATCAACAGAAAGCTTCAGGACTGCAGGAGATAATCTTTTAAGACTACAATAGGAACTTTCTTGATGTGCACACAACATGCCTCAAGATTCCTACTGTCATTTTTAGGACCCTGATTTTCTGCAGAGTAAATAATCTAAATATTGCACAGTGTGGAGATTAGATTGTATTCCATGTATAGGCATATGTTGCCATTTTTCCTCACCAACACCTCCCACTATTGCTCTTCATGTAAAGGTATTTCATTTGCTGAATTCAACCTGTCAAGTGTAACAAATATGCCCTAATCCCATTATATGCATCACAGTTCACTAACAGCCACATAGGAGCCACCGAGCCTTTTTCTCTTTGATCATCCCAGATTTACACACTGGCCAAGGGCAAGAGCTATGAAGTCTGCTGAGAATAGATGTGGAGAGACAACCTGCAAGGCACAACACCTGAGCTCTACATGTTCAGTATAAAGGACACTTGTTTAAAAGGTGCCTCAACTTCCACATTACAAAGTTCACTGTTGTAGCAAATGCTTTAACATCTATTCTTTTCCTTTAGTTCTCTATTTCCATTTGTGCTGCTGTGCCTTCTCAGACCTCTTAGTGGCATAACTGTTGAACACGTACATGGCTGTAACTATCACTTAGTGATTACAGCTATCTAGTTTCCCTCTTCACCATTAATTTATATATTGACTTATTTTCTTATTAGTCTAATATTGCAGTGAGGTCATCATGAGAAGAGCTCAGAGGAAAGAGGGGCATAACATAGAGTTTTGTCCTGTGGAAAGCTCAGGCATTTGAACAACTCCTACAATTAAAAGCCAGAATAAAATATTACATTTTGAAAAAATTACCATTAACCAAAGATTCTGAAATATTTTCTTTCAGATTCTGGAAATGATGTACTGAAACATTTTCTTTAGACAATTGAAATATTTTATTTTAATGTTATTTAAACCTGTATATTATATAAAAATGAAACTTCCAGGCTCTTCTGCTTTATCCTGTTTCATATGAGTCAGAATGATAAAAGTTGAAGCATTTTGGAAATTTTCCTTTAAAACATTTTGATCCTGCAAAACATTGTTTCATCCACATTTTTTGGAGAGAAAGCAAGTTTCTTTTGGAAAGTTTCTAAATCTTAAGTTCCTATATTCCCTTAGGAAACTTGGAACCAGCTGTTGTGCAGGCAAAAAGTTTGTAAGTAGCAAATGTGAGCATTTCAAGATCATCGGTGGATTAATGTTTTTATTTGGGTTTGCAAACAGAATCTTTCAAAGGGGCAATGAGATGCCGTGCAGACAGACTGCAATTGCAGATTTGTTGGAGCTATCAGACAATATTGAATGTCTCCTGTCCAAATGCTGAGAGCTATGAGGCCCTATCGACTTCTCTGCGGAAACAGACCACAATGAATGAGATTCAGGGACGGATTAAAAAGAAAGGACATTTTCTTATCACAAAGCAGTTCACAAAATTTGAGAGTTCCATTCAGGTTGAAAATAAAACTGCTTTCCTGGCTATGTCATTAGATAGCATATTGACAAAAACAGATTTAAAATATATTAGTGTTCAGACTGTTGCTGGCTCTTTAAGCCGGGTTGAAGATATCATGTATAATCAGTTTTAATTTTCTTATGTTTATGACAAATCAGAAAGCTGCATGGTTTGCATTACAAACATAGCAGGAAAATTTTTCTTTATTTCCTTTCCCCTTATCCAAATTGCTGTTTTGACTGCAATCATTAAGGGAATAATAGAAGCATTTTTTTTGGCAGTAGGTTATAAAAAACACGACCTTAACAAGTCCTTTAACAATTTTGGGCAAAATAATGACTCAATTAATTAATTTAGTCCTTTCTGTGCAAATTAGCTGTTTCCAAATTATACACGTACATGAATGACCTCACTTAGAACTGAATTATGGCCAGACTTGCTCAGCTGCAAGGTGGCAGCCACGGAGACAACAATATAACTTTGTAGGTTGAGTAATCCTGGACAGGACACTAAGGCAAAGCATTTCTCTTGCAGTCGTTTCCATGGTATCTTTAACACCCACATACAGCAACTAGGACATTGGTTGTGAAAGTCTCATCCAAATAAATCCGACAAAGTAAATTGCACGGAACTCAATTTATCTACCTTGAAATGAAGTTTGCTGGGATTTGAACCTGTGGCTTCAGGAAAAAAACAGCCACTTCAAACCTGATGTGCAAATCATTCAGCCATTCTATCAGGTTTAAGACATAAACAGAAAAAAATTGAGACCATAAGCATGCATATATATCTCTAAATCTGTGCGTATATAGCTGTACCTACATTTGCCTGAGATTCATCATGCCCATTGATTTCTGCTAATTCCTTGGCGCTTTTTAACTGCAAAGAGTAAACAAAACAAACAAACAAAACAAACAAACAAAAAAACAGAACAAAACAATCACATTACTTGAGTATTTCACACAGTTATCTTTGATTTATTTGAAGGAGCATTTTATAAAGCTTCCAATAAGAAAAACAGATGGAGCATATAATTCTAATGAGTTTTTGCTCAAACCATTTTGAAACCAACATACTTAAGGCTTGATAGGTTGGTTAAAAAAAAAAAAAAAAAAAAAAAAAGGAAAATAATAAGACTGGGTCATTATTTTTTAAATAATAAGAAAGTAGTTTCAAGGCATAAAAAGTGTGCAGAATTGGCTCTCAAGAATAATAAATGATTTAATTTCCCCTTCTTCTTGCTATTAATGTAAACTTTACAATATTTGCAAGTTGCCACTAGCTAAACAGTGTTTTGCTAATGATTACTTTTGAATGATGTATTTTGAGCTTTCTAAAACACCAAAGTGCTACTGTGTGTTTCCTTCCCGAGGAAGCATCTAAATAACTGACATGGCTCTTGGGTATGATGGAAAAGGAGGTGAAGAGAACAGCTCTTTTACTTAACCACTGGCAGGAAGGACTGATGAGACGCTGCCAATTTCAAATATATGATCTAAACCAAAACATTTTTTTCCTCCTGATTTAGCTTTTTTGGGGAAATCCAGGATTACACAGGGGATTCTAAAAGTCTTTCCAGAGAGATTTAAGGAGTGCCCTAGCTCATGTCTTGAGCCACAGTGAAATATGCCGTTGTTCATACTGCGATTGAACAAACAAGGAAAGGAGGACACACCACAGCTCTCTGGAGCCTGCAAACCATGGAGGTTTGTACATTTAGTGGAAGCACTCAAAAGCATTTAATCTTTATGTACATTTCTGAAAAGTGATGTGTTTATTCTAACTTAATTCAAAGTTAATATTTGGGGAGGGTAGAGATGGGAAACAATCAACAGAACTTTCCTCTATGTACCTTGGTCTCTATCTGTTTTTGCCAAAGAAGCTGGGGTCTGTTTAACAACTGATGATACAACTGTGACACTGAATGACAACAGCCCTAAAATCCAGGTGAATATGGATGTTATTATGTTTTGATTGGGTGTCTGGCACAGAAGCCTTGTCTGACTACCACTGTTGGATGACTGGTCAGATTACCTCTATCATCTTTTTGCTGTGCAGCAGCAACAGCTAAACTGCCTGTGAATCAGTTCTTGGCTTCTCACAGTTGCCAATCTGACAATTAAGGTAAGTGGGCCATGATCTCTCTATACCTCATGATGCAGGCCTGTGTGAGCCACTAAAGAGGTCCTGAAAGAGGGAAGAGGGCAACAATCCCTGAGAAAGCAGTACAAAGAAGAGCTGGGGACTGCAAACTCATCAGGTGTCCTGTCACTTCACTGACACTCATCTTTCAATGCCCTTGAAAAGCCTGCAACTCATACTAAAAGCAGTGTGATGCATTTCCAATGAATGCTGCGTGTTTTCCTTCCACTGAAATACAACCATCCTGTGAAAACATCTTGCTGTGAGGATGCTGGTAAGAACGAGACAAGAAGGCTACTTCCAGCCAAGAAAAGTTAGGTATTTCTGCATTGCGCTGTGAGCTGTTTCCTGATTCTGCCAATTTTTCATTTTAAATATTCACCTCATGTGGGCTGTCCCGTTGAGTTCAGCTGAATTACTCATCTGAATATGAAGTTAGGAGTGTGCTCAGGTATATAAAACTGCTCTGAGTGCTACGCCCATGTCCTGAGCGCTCTGGGAGTGCTGTTCATTACTTACCTTTCTCCTTTCCTTTTTCAGGTGCATCATGTGCCATCACCCTTTGGTGGCTGCTGGCTTCTTGGGCAATGCTCCGTGTGCCTTTTGCTGGTGACACGCAGCTCTCCAATCCACCTCATGTATGTTTGATGGGAGAATGGGCTCAGCCTCCAGCCTGCATTGGTCTGCCAGGCTTTCACCCCACCACTGATTCCCACCATCAGCTCCCCAGTACTGCTGCACTTGTCTTAATCCAGCAGCACAGTGTTAATCCAACTAGTGCAGGCAGGATGCTTGAGCCTTTTTCTTTCTTTTATGTCCTGCAGTGCCCTGAAGAAGATGTCAGAGCTCAGGCAAGAAGCTGCTAGCATCCACAAGTACACTAGACCCACTGCAGCAGGAGGTGGAGGTGAACCAGTGGAGATAATGGGAGAAAACTTGTGGGTAGAAAATATGCTGCTGGATTCCCACAGGCTAAAGGGGTGAAGTCCCTTTTTTTCCAATATTATTTTTTTTTGTTTTAATTCAAATATACTTTATACTCCTCTCTCACATCATAAATTGTGAAATGTTGGAATAGAAACCTTGGAAAAACATACAATCTTGGAAAAACAGGCCTTGCCTTACCCCCAAGGCAGGCTCCATTACAGGTTGGTGGTGAGACTGGTGTTACCAGCAGGGAGCATACTGAGGCTAAACACTGAACTAGTGCCAGTAACAACCAAGGGACTACCTGAAAGGAAGGGAGAAGAGGTAAGGAGCTGGAAGGTTCTCATACATCTCATGACGTGGTGGGGCAGGTAAGGTATAAACCAGTGGGCTCAAAGTCCTCTGACAACTGCAGCTGGTGGCTGACCAGATACGATCCAGAAGCCTTTTTGCCACCATTGTGTAACATGGTAAACAAGCAAACAGGATCTCTCCCAGCAGGATATACAGGATGAATAGGCAGACTTTAGCAAAAGTATCACAAAAAAAAAAAAAAAAAAAAAAAAAAAAAAAAAAAAAAAAAGCAATAAGGATGGGAGCCCAGCATTGTTATTTTTTAAAGAAATGTTCATATTTACTTGACTCTCCCATATGATTTTCAATATCCATGGTTGGAAAAACACACAGATGAGCTGTGGTGCTTGTAAAAGAAAGCTGTGAGCCTTGGCAAGTTGGGGGTCATTACTGCTAGGGGTTTTGCTATTCTGGAATATTTTGGAAATGGTTCAGGGTTATTGGAGAAGCCCACTGGTTGTGTAGCTCTCTTTAGGAATTCTGGCCACTTAGAGCCTTAGCTTTATGCATGTTTCAGTTAATGCTCAAGACAAATGCAGATCCATTGTGCCCTTCTTCCAGCTACTGTTTCGTCTTTCTGCCTAGCATGAGTGCACATTTGATTTGCAATTAGTAGGAGTCTGCAGAGATTCGGAAGTCACCCCCGTGGTCTCTACTGAGGCCTCATATCATAAGATATTCCTATATGTTTTTGCAGAATTTAATTGCTACCACGATATAAAATAACACCATGCAATTTCTTTTTTTTTTTTTTTGACTATTCTATGATGATATACTTTGAATGCCATGTGAAAATGTAAATGAGATGCAGTTAACTCAAGAGATCTAGTAGTTTCTGTCTTTATAAATATGCTGTTACCTAATCCACTCTTCCTCGTGGCATTTTTGTGTAATGCAGTCCTGCATCAGTTCTCATTTAGAAGGTTTTCTTTGTAGCCATAAATGCTAAGAACATATAGCATTTACTTTTCCCATTACGCATATTAAATGTTTAAATCTGTTTGCAGACATATTCAGACATACATGCTGAAAACTCTTGAACATAAGAACTATCATCATTTTGAATCTCTGCCATCAAAGCAGTTCAGAACCTGCAGTCTTTAATCTACAGATACTAACCAACTCGCTAAATATTTTAGCTCAAAGTTTATATATAAAGGACGAAAAATACGTCTCACAACAGAGACTGTGCCTATGCAGCACAGGTGGGGATTTGAGATTTCAGTGTGTCCAAGCCATGTGGCTTATACACAACGCATGTATTTGCGCACACTGTGCTTGCACACAGTGTGTACTGCTTCATTTCCAGATTTACAGATCTAGCTCCAGATTTTCTTTTTCTGCTAACTATCCATCTTACCTTGCTTATAAAACAGTACTATCAAATACACTTTTCAGTGTCATAGAATGCCTAAGTATCAAAGAAGGCTGACATTAAAGAATCAGATTTACAGTTGTTTGCAATAAGTGCATTGGTGAACTACTACTTTTAATGCCATCATGATAAGCTTTTTTGTATACTCATATCTTCACATATTACACAGGAGATGGCAAGCTCTTTTTCTTCAATATTAGTCTTAAAAGAAAGTGCATTTGTTGTTGTTGCTTGTCAAAAGAAAGTGTATTTGTTGTTGTTGCTTCCAATATGTTTGCTTTTCAGGCATGTTTAACTTCCCCCCATTTTTTTTTTTAATTATTCAGAGTGACAACACATTTCCCTGATATCTATGTGAATAATAAGTGGAAATGTTACTCAAGATGTGAAATTCACTACTGGATAGTGTAAAATAAGGGTCCACTTTCACTGTTTTCTTAAACTGTTAGCCCCAGCTGCATGCACAAATGCTAATCAGAGCAGACACATAGACTATATAATGTTATGTCTTGCTCACAACACAGTCAGTGGTCAGAATCCTATGTATTTTGTAGGCAAAGCCATGCATCCTCCATCCCCTTAGCATGCCTAAGACAGCACTTTTCTCCCATGAGAAGCACTCACCTGTTCCTGAAGGACTTTAAGCATTGCTTGTGTATGTGTTTGTTCTTCCTTGGCTTGCTCCAGCTCAGATTTTTTGTTATTTAATTCTTCCTGTATGCTCAGCAATTGCTGCACAAACAAAAGAAGGTTCTGGTTAGCACCGTCTGGATCAAAATCGGTTTTAAACCCTCAGTTTGATAAATCTTTGTTTCAAACAATGCTTTGCAGCCTGCTCCTACATTTATTATTGTTGCATAATCTGCTGTGTCTAAATGGACCAGAGGTAAATTATTTTCATCTGCATCTCCTTCTGCAGCAGGGCTCCACGAGTAATGCATCTGTTAATGTGTGTTAAGCTATTTGTTACATTAAAGTAGAAACTCCTGGTACAGTATATCACCCACGGAGGGACTGTCACATTCATCTGAACCAAAATCTTATTTGTAGAAGTGTATGCGGTGGTTTCAATAATACTAGGGTAAACACTATGGTACATAAATAATTTAAAAGCACAGCCTTTTAATATAATTAGTCATTGGCCCAAAGCCATTTTCATTCTATGCAAAGCAATATTCTGGAGAGCTTTCACATTGAGTTGCCAAGAAGACAAAGCTTTATTTATTTATTTATTTATTTTCAACCATGCTGTGATATTTTATTAGCCCAGGAAGATTGATGCCCTACAATCAATATATCAGCCAGGAAGATGGCTGATCTGAACTGTCAAAACAAAAAACTATGTCCAAAAACATTTTTTATGAAGACAATTCTGGGATGCAGGGACATCTTGAAAAGCCCACATCCCCTGGTCTTGGCTAGCTTCAGGTTCCACATAGATTTATTGTATCTGTTAAGAGCAGGTCAATAGATTTAATTAATCTGTAATAATGATATATTTTTATTTTTATGTGTAATATACATTGCTGAAGAGCAAGAGAAGACAACTAAGAGATTAAAAAGGAGTTTACAGTGCTTTCCCTTGGTGACCAAGAAGGGAAACTCTGGTTTTCTTGCACAACTTATTGCTCTGCATACACTCCTTTCCAAGGACTACTTGAGCAAGCAAGTGCTTTAATAACATGGATTATTGATCTAACTATGTGTCTAAGCATCTAAGACTTAGTTTGCACTTTTGTTTAGGACTGATAACTCTGACTCAAACGGATGTTGTAGGTGTTCACTGTCTTGATTAGTTGGACACAACAAAAGTAGAAATAGCCCCTGGCCTTGTTCCACAACACTGGAAGTCCCAGGCATGAAGGGACTCAGTGCCAGTATTGTTTTCAGAGCTGCTATGAAACACTTGATATTTTGGGGCCTGACAGAGTTATTGGCAGTGCATTTCTCATGTAAGTGAACACCAGTTTGATGAATTCTGTCTGCCACGGAGGTAAAAATCCATGTGGGTATATGTGTGATTATATCTTGCACCCTCTTGTACTCTGCTATTCAGCTAGGTGTGCTCTTTGATGGATCTTGCCACCTGGACTGCTCCCTGAGGGCCTACAAGACACTGAGGGCCTTCAGGTATGTGTATCCATTCTACCACAGCACAAAAGCATTTCAAATCTCATGATTTTACATGAATAGCAAGTTCTGTTCCAGTGAGGCCCCACCAACTTCTGCACGGAAATCTCTACTTCTGGCAATTCCTGATGGGGACTGGATTGTCACCTCAGACTTGTCTTCATCTTGCCTGTTGGGTATCACTCTCTACATTCTCAGAAGATAAAATGAATTTATGTGTACTGTCATGTGTCACACACTGTTACAGCTTCTTAGCACAGTTACAGATTTCCAGACATTTCATAACCTTCAAACCACAAAGGGACAATTTAGTCACCTCATGTAACCTCATGTTTATAACAGACCATTAATCTTCACTCAGGATAGTTTTAGCTGATGCCTGTACTTTAGAAAGAAGGGACTCCAATCCCCAGGAGGGAAACAAATCATACAAGGCACCAGAAGGATACCAGAAGCTCTTTCAAGGATCACTAGCAGAGACACCAGAGTTTTGGCAAAGAGATGTGTCACCTGAATGGGGCTGGTGAAATTCCTCTCCTTCACAACTGCAACCTGCTTGACCTTACACACCTGGACAGGACAAGGGCTTTTTAAGAAAAAAGAGTCTTTGCTCTCCACCTCAATGTCTTCTCTGAGTAGTTATGTCTCAACCAGTTTCTGACAATTCAAAGTGAGGATCCAAAATGAATTAAATGATCCTCACATAAAGCCAGGAATGCATTTAGCCAATTATGTACTGGGGAAGGGAACTTATTTGCCTCTCTAGGCAACAAGCTGAAATCCTGAATTATGAAGTTTTATTGCCATCATTGTCAGTGCAGTGCTACAAGTACTGTGGAGTCCAGAGAAAACTACACAAGAGATCCTGTCTGCTCCACAGCCCCTGAAGGAAGTGGATAGACAACAAGAAGAACAACACTAAGAAGAACATCACTACCTTCCAGACCAAACCTTCATCCTGTTTCAGAGACTTTACTCCAGATTCTGGGAGAAACCCTGGAGCTCATCCTTCTGAACAATGGAAATTCCTATTTAGAAGACACCTGGTGAGTCTTAAGTTAATCTCTGCCACTGGAAAGCCCTTTCACTTAGAGGTTGAACTTGTTATACTTTCACCAGAAGAATTAAAATCACCTTCCTCATCCTAACCCCTCATGGTTCTTCCATAGTCAAGTCTTACACACCATGGACCAGCTCACAAACCACTACAGCTTTATCTTCATATCTCCCACTTATATCTCCAGCTGTGCTTTAGTCTAATTATATCCCTCTTCCTTTGATCTTGACTTTAGGTTTTGTGTTCGAGGCAATTTTTTCAGAGCTGGCTGAGCATGGGAGGAAGTGGTGTGGCAGATGCAATGTGAGAGCACAAGCAGAGATGCTCCCTGTTCTGCATCATTGTATTTGGCTCCAGACCAGCCAGGAACAAGAATCCCAGGAAAACATCCAATTTTCTCAGTTTGCATGGATTTGCAGCTCATACTGGTTGCAACATGATCTGCAAAGCATTTGACATGAGATAAAACTTTCTGGGAGTCTTAATAGTTAAACTGTAAACTACTGCAGGCTCTCTGTTTGTCCCTAGGCTCATATTTTCAAGACAGCCAATGGGCCCCATTTTCACGGGGATGGAAAACAGAGCATCTGTAACTAGTGTACCGCATTCCCAGTCACATATAAGGTTTTTCATTCACAGAACTGGGACCTTCCCAGCCAGCCCCCAGAGATGGCAGAATTGTTTAAAATTTGCAGTCATTCCCTGGGGCTTTAACCTTCTTTCTTTTTCTCTCCCTGACATTTACCTCTAAAAGCTGCAGAATCCGCTCATTTTGCATGGGTCAGGTTCAGAGCTTTCTTTTTCCTGTGTGGTTGATGCCATCAACAAGAACTAGTAACAAGGACTTATACCTGCCAAACAACATATTTTTTCCTTCTAGTCTTAATTTGGGAAATGACAAAATAGCTTTGACTGAAAAAAGTATCAGACTGAGACAGACAATCAGCTTGAAAAATTTCAGCACAAACACGTGATGTTTGGCAAAATTAGAAGCAAATGGAAAGATTTTACACTGGCAGGAATGAGGCAAGTTTCATAACAGTAACTGCTGTCATGCCTACTTATAAACAGACAGCCACTCCATAATGATTCTAATGAATGATGCCAAGATGATGGTATTTAATTATTCAGAATTATTTTGTTTCTCACATAAATGTGCTTATTAAAAATTGATCCTATAGATATTTCTTCTGCCCTTCAGATTGCATGCAAGTGCATACTACAATCAATTAAAATAAAAAATTGTTCTCCTTGGTTTTACTTGTTGTGCTGTCTGATCCTGTTCCACCTACTTCACCATCTCATCGAGCTTTTCTGCCAGAGCTTCCCCCCCCGTGCCCACCCACCCACACAACATTTGCTACCCCGCTTCCCACCTGTTGTGTCCTGCTGGTTTGTCTCAGAGATTCTGCCAGCACAGCTATCAAAATGTCCCTTCCTCCAGTCTTGTCTCACCTCTCTGGCCATTTCCTTTAAGCCCTGATGCCCCTAGTTTTGTGGCACAGCCATGGCAATCAGTCAATAAGCCCCCAGTTTTCTCAGACAAAGGAGTGACTTGTTGGCTATACAGCCAGGAAATTCCTGGTTCGTTTGTTTATTCTCTTCTAAAGCAGCAGTTCTCAACATACAACTCTTTGGGTGTCTGGGCGTCCCCTGCCTCTTGTGCAAGGATCTCTTCCCTGAGCCAAAATCATAGTGTTAGGAGGCAGAAAAGCATCTCATGGTGGAGAGATATATTATCCTTGCTCTAGTGCACGCCCTCTGCTGTTACTGGGGAGGGGAGAGGCTGGCTGCAGCCTTCTGCAAAAGGCAAGGGAGGCTACCAGAGACAAGAGGCTACCAGAGACAAGAGTACACAACCCACACCCAACCTGACACAGAGAAAGCTTGATTTAGTGAGTGTTGATGCAAGAAGATCTTTGAGGAAGGTTGGGGAATGTCCAATATCATGCTGTGGTAAGAAGGTAAAGGTAAGGAGAAGGGAAGAAGTCTGCTTCTGAAATCAGCAGGAAAATTTTTCCAGGACTGACTGTTAAAATGAAGGAGTCTGGAACTCTGAGGTTCCTGGAGAGAGGCACATGCACAGCCCAGCGTTCCACCAGCACTGCTCTGGAAGCTCAGCTGGTATCCATGCAAACAAAGGTATTTGTCACTGTGGCTGCTGGGTTATCCACAAGAGATGAAGCCCTGGAGTAGGTCAACATCAGATGGGTAAACATCACTAATATCCCTTCATTGGCATTTCCAGAGAGGAGACAAGAAAGCAAAAAGAATTAACTTAGTAGTTGTCTCTCCAGATGCCAAGAAATACATTTTACGCAAAACCATGCAAGACAGCTTTCCTGTTTCCATTGGCAGTTCTGGAGCTTCTCTGTTTATAAACGGAAAAGATCCCTCTCCAATGTTAAGCTTGCTTCATTCATGAGGACAAAATTCCTCCCCATTCATAAGTGGGTAGCTAATTTCTTTAAATGGGAGGGACATGTGTGTGTTTTATTTTATTTATTTTTTTCCACACATTCCAACTTCCAATGCTGAATCTCTG